CACAGAGTGGGAAGTCCTCATATAATGAGTCTGAGCTACTATTTTTTTCTTCTTTTTTGGTGGCTGCCCAGTACAGGGATCTGAACCCTTGCCCTTGGTGTTATCAGCACCGCACTCTCCCGAGTGAGCCACCGGGCCGGCCTGAAAAATGGGTATTCTAACAGTAATTATTGTGTAGGGTTCTTGTGAGGACTAAATGAGGAAACGGGGCAAAGGGCTTGGTGCACAGTCAATAATCAATACATAGTAGCTGAGGGCTGGCCGGTTAGCTCAGTTGGTTAGTGTGGTGTTGATAATACCAAGGGCAAGGGTTCACATCCCTGTACTGGGCAGCCACCAAAAAAGAAGAAAAAAATAGTAGCTCAGACTCATTATATGAGGACTTCCCACTCTGTGTTTTTTTTTTTTTTTTTTTTGTCTTTTTGTCTTTTTTCGTGACCCGTAACGGGATCGCAACCCTCAGTGTCGCGCCCGTACCGCGACCGGCAATGGGATCGCGACCCTCGGTGTTACGCCCACACCGCACTCAACCAGTGAGCAGACCGGTCTCTATATGGGATCCGAACCCTTGGCGGGAGTGCCGCCACGCTCCCAAGCGCCGCACTACCGAGTGCGCCACCGGGCCGGCCCCCCACTCTGTGTTTTAATCATCTGTGTGTCTGTTCCCCCGCTGGACTGGGGACCTTCTAAGGGCAGCGACTTTCATATTTGTGGTCCCAGTGTGTGGCACTCAGCTTTATTTCAGTCACATGAGTGTTTTCTTTTTTTTTTTTTTTTCTTTTTGTCTTTTTTCGTGACCGGCAACGGGATTGCAACCCTCGGTGTCGCACCCGCACCGTGCTCAACCAGTGAGCAGACCGGTCTCTATATGGGATCTGAACCCTACCGAGTGCGCTGCACTCTACCGAGTGCGCCACTGGGCCGGCCCCACATGAGTGTTTTTGACAACCTCCTTGGAGAGTTGGACCAACCTTCATTAGTCATCTGGACCATTGATGATTCACATAGCTGAAGAGAAAGGGGAGGCCCAGAGAGGGGCAGGTGCGTGCTCCAGGTCACACAGCGCCGGGTGGCTGAGCCAGCGTGCTTTCCCTGATCTGTACAGGCTGAGAGGGATTCTTATGGTCAAGAGAGAACCATGATAGCCATTTCCGTTCTTTTGGGGGGAGCTGAGAATTGGAGCAGAGCTGCAGCGCAGGCTGTGGTCACCTGCTGACAGGGCTGAGTCACCATTCAGAGCACCACGGCCCCATGACAGTGCATCACACCTTGGGTTCTCTCTGAACAGCCCTGGTGTTTAGTTTTTACCACCCCTGGCCCCTTTGTCTACAGAACTACAGTGTCAATTGGGGATTGGCCCTCAGCAGGGAAAAAAAGATGAGCTTGGCTGGGAGGGTCAGAGCCAAAATGCATGGCCAGGGAGACGCCCATTCAAGGGAGGACCATGACACAGCTCCTTGGCTCCTCCCACAACCTGGCAGGGTGCTAGATTAGTCCCATTCACAGATGAGGAAACTGAGGCCTAGTAAGGTAGGGCCACTCGGCTAGGGTGCAGTCGAGCCAAGATTCAGACCCAGGCAGTCTGGGTCCCTTCTCCCTGGTCTCCCAGGCTGCTGGGCATTATGCAGCTCCTCCAAGTCCAGGGCCATGGCAGGGTCCAGAGAGGGAAAGGCGCTGTCCGAAGTCACACAGCAAGTCAGTAGCAATGCAGGGCCTGAACGTACAACTCCTGACCTCCCACTCCAAGCCTCCAGTCGGATTGTCCTGGTTCAAATCCTGGCTCAGACGTCCATTGCTGTATGATTTAACCTTTCTGAGCCTCAGTTTACTTCTCTGCAAAGTGCAGTAATAATAGTGCCAGCTTTAAAGGTCTGTTGCAGGAATTAAATAAAACAAGAAACCATGCAGCTGTGCGGGGTGGGGCCCCAGCAGGGGGGTGGTCCTTAGGGAAGCTTAGAGCACAGGAATGAGTGGTGGGTCTCCCCCACTTCCAGTTTAGCAGCCCTGTCTGGGAGGAAGAGCAAGCTCTTGCCCAGCACTTGCTCGGCGCTTCCCACATTCCATCTCGTTTCATCCACAAAAGAGCCCATGGAGGAGGGATCCTTGTATCCCCATTCCCCAGAGGAGTAAACCAAGGCCGAGCTCCCGCCTTCTCTCAGCCA